ATATTTTTGAGTGGCAATTCCTGGTTTCCTTAGTCTAGATAAAATCTTCAACCAACTGGTCAGTTTCGCAAAAAATGATACCCTATTCTAGACCCAAACGCTCTGATTTATATACCTTATCCTAGAGTAAACTGCTTGAAAACCATACCCTTCACAGCGGCACATACCTATAAAGCCCATATATGACAGTGCCCCCTCCCACCCGGGGGGGGGGGTTCTACTGGCGCCTCGAGAACTGTTGATAAAATTAATTAAGTGATCTTTGCAATACTGCATGCAGCTATTAGTTTTAATGTCAGACAGGCTCTCAGCCTGTTCTAACAAAAACCTCAAGTACGTTTCTTTGTTGCAGTTGTCTGGTGATGTGTACTTCAAGAACATACAGGCTGCATGATATGAACACCAATCCAATATTCCTAATTTCATGATAGATAAATTTTGCCAAGCCTAAAAGAGGAGCTCCATTAAAATAATAAACATTTACTTGACACAATAACCTTCAAAGAAATTCATAAATCAGCATTTCACCATGCCACACCAAATAAATTGAACAGAACGATTAAATATACATAAACACAAAATGTTTATCTTTACATCTCGAGGATCAAATGGCAAATCCCGTCTCAACGAAGGATGGGAGAATAGAAAAAATGTTAAAGAAAATTCGTTTAAAGATTGATTATCGTACAAGGTAAATCCAAGAAATATGTTTAGAAGCCAAAGTCCAATTTTCAAAGACGGGCTGTCATCAAATTTAATAATTATTCATGCTATTGCGTAATTTGAATATTATTTTTGCCGACGGCTTTGCAGTCATTTATTCGCCAGTAGTCTTTTACATAAAGCCATTAATGTTTATTGCTCGTGATATTACAGCCCATTTAGCTGCGGAAATATAGGAAAATCGGTATAGGTTTTGTGGGTGTCACATATGCATGTTTCGTAGTGTACCAGTCTCTTTTTCTCCCCCATCATATAAGCCATTCTGTATGCAGATGTGAAACGGGCGCATAAAACCTTAACATTAACATTGAACGGACGAATATAGCGATGGCAAAGTTTAATATTTTGTTTCGGAAGCTTGACAAAAGTCCGATATTGAGTGTTGTTTAGTTACAGAGTGCAATGCTGATTACTGTAAAGTTAGATGCTGAGTTATAAAGTCCTATGTTGATTATTGTAAACTTGGATGTTGAAGTTTGAGCTGATTACCGTAAAGTTGGATTTTGAGTTATTTATTAAAGTCCAATGTTGATTACTGTTAAGTTCTATGTTGAGTTAACAAAAAATCCTAAAATCCAAATTTTGCGGAATTCCTGGCGTTTTTGAGCTTGCTGTGCATAGATTTCCCAAATTCATCACGCACCAAGGGACTCTTCTTTTGAAAAATTTGGTTACGTGATTAACCCATTGACTCCCGAAGGGTTTTTTTTTTTAGCTTTTTGCTAAAAATGCATTTTTTGGACATTTTGAAGATTTTCAGGCTCGATATGGGCCAAATTAGCTCCAATCTACTCAAAAAGGCATTTGCAACATGACAGGATGCCTTTCTTTCCACTAGCGCTGCGTTTTACGTCAGTTTTGCTCAGGCATCCGCAGAAATCAAAATTTTAAGAAAGTGACCTACGTCTTTAGGTTCTTCGTTTTTATTTTATTTTATTTTATTTTTCGCCTTTCCTTTTCCTCCTTTTTTTTAATCTTTTTTTTTTATTTTTGCTGCAGTGATTGACTTTTTACTGGGCTTGCTTCCAATTCAAAACATTCCGAGAAAGCATCATCGAGACGGGCAACTTTTACCATGGAGTAGCCACGTGTAGTCGCAAGAAATTTTGCTCTGAGTTTTTCAATCAGATTTCTGAGCATTTTCGTGCATGTTTCAGGCTCCATTGAGCCGATCACTCTGATCTGGGTATCATTGGAAAGATCTTTTCCTCCTGCAAAAGTTGAGTATAGATGATATCAATTTTGGTCA